GCTTCCCTCGTCAGAATCATAGAAGAAAGTCCTATTGGACACTCTTTTTTTATTCTTCTTCTTCAATATCTTATTCTTCCTCTTTGCCATCCTCACCCGTAAGACATCCAGTGTAATAGTTGACCTAGTTGGCTGGGCTTCCTCCACAGGCTGCTCTGAGTGTGGGGCTATGACCTCCGCTGAAATGGTGTTTGTTACCTTCTTAGTTAGAGAACTCATAGGGCCTATGAGAGAAGAAAAGAGGGATGAAAACATGAAAAGTATGTCTCAGATGGCACACTTTTATAGAGGAAGTTGAGTGTCTTGTACGTTGAAATGAGAAGATGGAACATCCAATCATTTAAATCCTGCAATAATGACTTCTGATGGTTGATATTCTTGAATGACATGTGACATCTTGAGAAACGCATAAATAACTTAACCATTTTAGCCATTTCTCTGCATTGGAAAGAGTAAAGGTTGTTCATACTATGTTTTAATCAGAATTAATTTTCCCATATATGTATTTGTATTATTAAATATTTTTGTCATCTTCTATGATGACATGTCTGAACTCACTTTTTGTTGATGATAAAAGGGGCATAATACATGGAAGTATTTAAGAAGGTTAATAATATTTTTTAATGCCTTTAATTTACATGAACCTTGTTTATTCAATTATGTTGGTAATGCTTTCTTCTGGGACATATTTTTTTATTAAGATAAGTTTAAATTAACTTAGATAAAACTTATGGAAAGCTTACAGAACTCAACCTATGGACTATTAGATTCAAAGGGAGTTTACAAACCTCAGATTCTAATATTGTCAAGTTGGTTAAAACTGACCAACCATTGTCTTTAAATACATTTGTTTGTCATCATAACAAAGGGGGAGATTATTGGAACAAGATTGTTCATATCCCTTAGGTTTTGATGATAACAAAGTATTTAGAGAACAAATGGGTATACTAACACATGTTTAAGTGTGCAAGATTAAAATCTACCAATTCACCATAAATTAATCTTGTTAAAAGCTTAAGTGGATAAGAATTGTTACTAATATTCTGAATGATTAGAATTTGGTCACTCTGAATATGTTCATAAGCATCTAAAGGATCAAACTCTAGTATACTATTTCAGCCTTTGGTGACAGCTCATACCCTGAAGGCAAAAGGTTCCTTTGATTTGTACTCTGCACCAAAAGCGTACTAGTCTTGTCAAGCTCCAAACTTATGGGAAGAGTTAACTAGGGTTTGGTTTTGCAAGGCTCAAGGGATGCTGATGTGATCTCTTCGGTCTGTTCTACCTTTTAGTAGATACCTAGTTCTTCGAAAGGTATTGGGGACTATGTCATTATCTTGTGGACAATACTTCTATCCAGATGATACTCTCGAATGTCTCTGTTGGTATACTTCTTGACTAAGTTTGCTGTTGTTCAAACCTCTCAAATGACTCGTTCTCTGCCTCTATAAAAAGGAAGCCGAAGACTTATAGGAAGGTTATAACATTATAACACATTGAAAGATCTTAGCATAACTCTGAGCTGTTATTTTTGTAACTGTTCTACCACAAGATCTTTAGATTTCTTATCTTATCATATCTTAGAAACCTCAAGAGGCTGAAAGCCTTTGTGATTCTTGCACAACTGTTATACTTCTGATTGTGTATCAAAGTTTATTAGTTACCTTTTTTTTACTAAACTATTAGTTTAAAGTAGAGGAAGCCTCTTGCCTGCGTGCTTAAGCATTGAAGTCTCTTGTCTATGTACTCGAGCAAGTGAAGTCTCTTTCTAGGTAGATTCAGTAGAAGTCTCTTTCTAGGTTGATTAAGCATTTGAGTCTCTTGCAAATGTGCTTAAGCAATTGTAATCTATTTAGTTATAGTGAAAAGCTCTTGTTGAGGAAAGGGGACTAGACTACTCTCAATTGAGGAGAGGAACTAGAATAATCTTTGTGTGTTACTTGCATTTACTTTTGATATTTATATTTCTGCTGATGTTACATATTTGATATCAGACTCTGAACGTGGTTCAGATTATGAAGGTCTAATATCATAAGTGAAACGAGTTTTTTTTTACATACACAATTTAACCCCATCTTGTGTATTTTTGCACCTTCAAAATAATAAATGCATGGAATGACATAGTAAATTCTTCCACTGAAGAATTATATGCCGATTCCATTATGCATTTTAGGAAAGTGTGCGAAAAACATTCTGATTTGTTCAAATATGTTAAAAGCATAATTCTTGATCAAGTGAAGGAGAAAATTGTTTGTGCTTAGAGCGATCAGGCTAGACACCTCGGAAATACAACAATTAACTGAGTTGAGTCTGCCCGTGATACATTAAAGATTTGGCTGGGAAATAGTAAGGGATATTTATGTAGATATTGGGACTCCATGAACCAAATGATCCAGAACCAACATAATGATATACATACATCATTTGGTCAGAGCATCACAATTTTGAAACACAATTTTATAAACAAAAATCTTTAGCCTCAGTTAGTCGGCAATATATCTTGATCGGGTTTGAATTATATTTTTCACGAGGCTAAACGAGATGATAAAGTAGGCTTCGATAGCACAAAGTTTGAATGAATAAATGTGAAAACATATGGTCTCCCATGTGCTTGTGTTATTGCAAAAAAAAGTTAAAACTTGGTAGCCCGATAAGAATGGATGAAGTTTGCACTCACTAGAAGAGGCTTAGGTTTGATGATTATGGTATTATGAAAGACAATAATTCGAATATCTATATCTTGATCAAATGTGAAGTGATACAAGAGAGATTTTTGAAAGCTGATGATAACATGAAACTCCACATCAAAGAATAATTGAAGAAGATTGCTTATTTAAAAACCACCAATTTGAAACCAGCCTCTCAATCGGTAAAAAAAAAAGGTTCTCTGAAGAAGCTCAAGCCTATACTGAGTGACAATTAAACAATGCAGTCTCATTCATAATTTGAACATGCTGACAAAGTTTTTTCGGACTCACCAACTCCAAAATCTTAAAAAAGTGTTTTCAAATGAGCTCACATTAGCAAATAACCTCCTACGACACCTACACTATATATTCCATTCATTGACGAGGTGCTGGTTCTTATGCATAAATACATCGAGCGGACCATCAATGTCGAGGGGGACGGTAATTGCGGTTATCGAGCTGTTTCAACTTTTACCCGATAAAAGAGAAGATAATCATACACTTGTCCGCCATACACTTATCCAAGATTTGAAGAATCACAAAGAATCATACACACAACTGTATGGAAAGGAAGAGCACTTAGATGAAGTTTATGAATCTATTGTTCCTTGCCTTAGTGGACCGACACCAGATGAAAAATGGATGTGCTTCCTTGAAATGAGTCACCTCATAGCATGTGCGTATGATAAAGTGTGTGTTGATCTTACAAGATACGATTTTTCAAAAACCTTTTTCCCACTGTGGACCTCCCCACCTCAAAACCCAAATGACCGTATTATTTTTATTTGGTGGCTTTCAAAATCACGTCATTTTGTTCAAGTTTACTTGAAACCAGGATGCCCTATACCATTTACATCACCGAAGTGGACAAATTATTCAACAACAAAAACCGAGACTTGGCCAAACCATTTTGTAGAAAGGATGTAAGAGTTTGAGAAATTGAGCAACATTGAAAGAGAATCAAATGCGCAAAAGTTAAATGGGGTACCACCCATATATTTAGCCGACGATAAATGTGTTGATTCATTTTAATTTCTTGTTTAGCTAGACAAATAAGTGTATGTAATTGTGTCTCAATATTAATGAAGTATAACATATTTAGTTTCTTAATATTTTAATACATTTTTCATCTTTCCTATAACATTTGTTCATTTGTCAAACAAATTCTTCAATTAAGTTTTGTTTTCAAAGGTTATATTTCTGCCTGGTTCAAGAGAGGTTCCAGAGTTGTATCTCCAGAACAAGATGATAGAGTGCGAAATCAGAGATATATTTCTAAAGTCAGCATGTCGTATTTTGAACGATCCATATTTGTCTACAGTTTCTATAAAATAAGGTGCTCTTGTTTTTTATTTCACACAAACTGAAAATGTCTCAGACGTCACAAATAAACATCATATAATATGTCGCAAACGTCTTCTTATCGAGTGCGACACCCACACGAAAGTTTAAACTCAACGAGTACAACTCTCTTGCAGATTTGAAATACGAAATCCATAATCTCTTACCTTACAGGGACAATAGAAAGATTGTGAAGTTAAAGTACCGTTCACCGTCAATTGATAATGGGGGGAAGATTGAGCTCAACAACTTTGAGCTCAAGACGGATGCATATGTAAGAGCTAAATGGAATACATTTTTCTGTTTCGAAACAAAAGTTCCACTCGAGTTGGAAGCGACGATTTCAAGATCGGTCAAAGATATTATGAAGATGTTGAAGCGTCCACATGAATATTGAAGTGTAATGTTGCATTTTATGTTGAAATTATCTACGTAATGCTTATTTTATGTTATGAATACTAATTTTATTTTGTCAAATTACAAGTTTTTGGTTTCTTCCTTTGTTAGTGTTGTGAATATGTTACGAAAATGTATCTACGAATAGGTTCCAAAGATACATATCTGATATTAAAAATTCTCAACTAATAAGGCGTCACTCAGAATATTTTATGTTGTGTGAGTATTGGGTGCGTCCGGAGATATATTTTCAAAATTTAGATGGTATTTTAATTTTTTTGGGTGGTGCTTAAGTAATATATAGGATACATTATGTATCTCCGAAATCTGGAAAATATTTTAGTATTTTCGCATGAAGAATAAGTAATATATAGAGTGCATTAAGAAATTTCCAAAATTATTTAATTTTAAAATAAATTGTGAAAAGGGACTGCTAAATACAAAATGATATAAGGTCCAAGAAAATTAGCTATCTCAGGCCCAATCCGAATAAAACCCTAAAACTGAAACCTATATTCACTTGCATATATACGCAAACTCACAACCGGGAAGAGTTAGTTCAAGGGAGAGAGCAAGATGTCTAAGAGAGGTATGCGCAGATTGTAAACCCTTGCTGTATATTATGTGATTTTTGAATGGTTCGTAGTTCTCTAATGATTTGTTCTATTATTTGAATTGAATTGTCAGGTCGCGGTGGATCCGCTGGAAACAAGTTCCGCATGTCGCTGGGTCTTCCAGTGGCTGCGACGGTGAATTGTGCTGACAACACCGGAGCGAAAAATCTCTACATCATTTCAGTGAAGGGGATCAAGGGTAGACTTAACCGTCTTCCTTCAGCTTGCGTCGGAGACATGGTGATGGCCACCGTGAAGAAGGGAAAGCCAGATCTGAGGAAAAAGGTTTTGCCTGCTGTCATCGTTCGTCAACGTAAGCCATGGCGCCGAAAGGACGGTGTCTTCATGTACTTTGAAGGTAAACCCTAATCTCAACAGCTATTATATGATTTGAGTTTTGTTTTACTTATTTATAATTGAAGGTTGCTTTTATAATTTAATGATGAGTGACCTGTGTTATGATTGGTCATTCACTATGTATAGAAGCATACAACTGTGTTATTGCCAGTTTTAAACAGCATGATGCGTTTTTATGTTGCATTGTGTTACCTGTCTGCTGGTAAATTCTGATATAGATACGAATATCACTGATTGAATTGATTTCTTAATTTTATTATATGTGGAACTCTTATTAACATGTAGAGTTGTTTATTTTTGTGTGCAGATAATGCCGGTGTCATTGTGAATCCTAAGGGAGAAATGAAAGGTATAATTTGTTAATTGATCTTATATATCTCTGGTATATAGAATTCAGATGGAGTGTATTTGAGGAAGTGGAATATTTATTAACGTAGTGCTTCAATGCCTTGCAATTTTTAATTTGGTGATGAACTTGTGATTCTATATATCGGTGAACCCTGAACCTTAAAGATGTTAACACATGTCAATAGTCTTGTTAGTTTCCTTCATTAGGAGACATTTAATTTGATTATTTATTCTGGTATTGGATTATTGTCTTAATATTGGTGTTATGACTTTCATCACAGGTTCTGCCATCACTGGTCCAATCGGTAAGGAGTGTGCTGATCTGTGGCCTAGGATTGCAAGTGCTGCCAATGCCATTGTATGAGTGATTCTGGTTCCAACTAGCCTATATGTTTCTGTTGTTTTTAGAACTTAAAGTTTGTCTTAGATTTATCTTATTCCTGACTTTGGCACTATTTTGTCCTTCCTTTACTTATGGGAAATACATTTTTGAAGAGATTATATGTTTTTGGCTACAGAGATATTATGTTATGATAATTATTATGTTTTGAATTCTTCATACTTTTTTCCCACCAAGTTATTGATCTTATTCTCAAGAGTTTTGGTTTATATTTGGAAAATTGTAGTTTTCATCAACATCCATCGCTGGCGTCATTAATTTGTTGTTTGTGTGCACTGTTGCGTAACTTGTCTAGTTGAAAATGAAACAATTTCAGTTTTAAGAGTATCTAGCTTTGTGTAGTCAAAATCGAAACAATTTCAGTTTTAGGAGTATCAAATGATGTGGCTTTATAATTTCATTTCTAGCTCTGCTATCATAATATTTATGGGTGTGTATATTACACAAGTGTTTTAAGATATAATAACTTTCTCGATCTCACCTTCTGATTCCTTCATATGCATTCCTTGACGCATAAGCTTAAAAATCCCACCTCTGTTACTAAAATATGTTATCTGACTCCTTGTGATGAAGTAATTGTGGCCTTGTGAACTTTTGCGCTTTCGTTAGACTGTTATTAAGTGTTGTTTTAAACTAAGCTTATTGCTCTTTAAGTATTACGCTTAGTATTATAAACTAAATCGATGTTTGGAATTATGAAAAACCACGTTCCGGTAAAAAGCTTGTTTTCAAACACAAAACTATGCAGAGCTAGTACATGTAGCTGCTAAAATTTTTTGGTATAAGTTTCACAAAAACACAATAGACTATGCAAAGCTAATACTAATAGCTTCTCAAAAATCTTGTTAGATGTTTAACATGAGGTGGCTGTGACTCATGTTTTAAAACATAATAAACTATGCAAGCTAATACAACACGCAATAAACTATGCGAGATGAGGAAAGATACAAAATTTCTGCTATATATATCAAGGGAATTTCAGTCATTCTATCTATTGTATTGCATCAAACTTGAAAAACTGTGGTGAGAACAAATTAGCCTAGAGTTTGATGTGATATTAATTATAATCTAAGTTGAGATATTTGGTGATAGATATTAGATATAATTTAAGTTTAGTTATGTGGTTTAAATTTAAAGTTAATTAGGGTTTTGGGTTTGTTACTTATTTTACTTAGTAGACAAGTTAGTTATATATAAATACATAGTTTGTATTTAGTTTTATCATTCCATTCAAATGATACAATTCTGATTGTTTTATTTTTGCTCATTCTCACATTAGAGATCGTGTTTCTAGGATTGTGGGTTGTTGATCAATTGCTGCAAAGGATTGTGGGTTGTTGATCAATTGCTGCAAAGATGAATGGTAACTGAAATTTACCAAACTCCCTTCCAACTCTTCCAACAAGAATTGGTTTTGATAGAGAAAACATATGCAATCTCTATTTGTCTTTTATGAAATCCTAGAAGTGGTTACTAATGATGTTCCTACGTTTGGTGAAGATGCAATTGACGCACAGAGAACCGCTAACAAGGATGCCGAGAAGAATGATTGCAAGACGACGTTTTACATCCAATCAGCGATTGATGCAACTAATTTTGACAGAGTTGCTCATGCTGAATCGACAAAGGAGGCATGAGATATTCTTGTGAAGTACTATGAAGGGGCCGAGAAAGTCAAGATTGTCAAGTTGCAAACTTTGCGACGATAATATGAATTGTTGTCGAAGAGGGAAAATGAAAAGTCATGGATGACGAGATGAAATCTCTTCATGATAATAACACTTGGGAGCTGATTGAGAATCCTGCAGGAGCCAGGTTAGTCAGTTGTAAGTGGATTTTCAAGGTCAAGGAAGGAATCAAAGGAGTGATGTTGAAGCGCTTTAAGGAAAGGTTGATTGCTAGTGGGTTCAGTCAGAAGAAGGTGTCGACTTCAATGATGTGTTTTCACCTATTGTAAAACATAGATCCATTAGAATTTTGTTAGCCATGGTGGCGAAGTTCGACTTGAAACTTGAGCAAATGGATGTGAAGACACCTTCATGTATGGTGATCTAGATGAAACGATTTTGATGCGGCAACCTGAAGGGTATGCAAAAAAGGATAAGGAAGATTATGTGTGCAAGCTGGATATGTCTTTGTATGGCCTGAAACAATCTCATCGACAATGGAATAGGAGATTCGACAAGTTCATAGCACATATTGGTTTCGCTAGGAGCAAGTTCGATCACTGTGTTTACTTCATTTTGACCTGAAAACTCGTTTTTTATTTTGTTACTTTATGTGGATGATATCCTCATAGCTAGAAATAGTGTCGGGGATGTAATGGAGGTGAAGGCTGAACTCAGTAAGGAGTTCGAAATGAAGGATCTATGAGCTGCCATCAGGATTTTTGGGATTGACATCCGAAAAGATAGAAAACAGTCAAAATTATGCTTATCTCAAGAGACATACCTACGAAAGATTCTCGACAAGTATGATATGTCAAATTCAAAGCCTGTTGTGACTCTGACAAATTCTCAGTTTAAGCTTAGTACTACTCAAAGCCCGAGTACTGAAGCTGAAAGAATCTATATGAGTAGCATTCCATATGCTAGTATAATAGGTTCTTTGATGTATGTTATGGTATGTACAAGGCCATACATATTGTATGGAGTGATCCTTGTAAGTGTAACACTCTTCTAAACCCCGCCAAATATATAAATAATCAGAATAATTTATCATGCATCTTACATAAGGGTGTCACATATAGTTTTAAAACATCACACATATCACCTATCATGCTCATTAACACTTAAAATAAATTTATGCTTTTCATATACTTTCATTTAGCATGTAGCAACAAAATTACTTTAATCATAAATGAACATAATAAAAGTCTCAAGAATCAACACATTATAAATCATCACTTAGACATAAAGGTCAATACTCCACATAATTCAAAAAAATAAATAATAAAATAAAATAGAGTACATAAAGTATCTCTCAAAACATGAAATCGAAACATCCTCGTGTTACATGATCAGAGCACGACTCGACCCAAAATAAATAAAGAAACTAAACAAGCTACTCCAACGACTACCTCGCGCTAGAAGCAACTCTACTCCTCGGTACCTGAGCGATGTCGTGCAAAACATCATTCTAACAGAAGGGTGAGAATTCACATAATTAATGAAATCATAAGTTAATGTATAATATAAAACATACAAACATAACATAATGAATCTCACACTTCAAGAAGTTTCATCAACATATTAAAACTCAAGTAACCATACTATTCACAAATATATACTTACAATTCCATAATTCATTAATTCGTCAATTTCACATATTGCACATAATCTTGTAACACACACAAACATATACACAATGAGACTTAATGCAAGGCTCAAATGCAACTCATGCATGTGGTACTAATCACTTATTATTTTTCAGTTTTTACATTAAACCGGGTCCATTCCCTAGATTAATAACACATAAAAAGCCCATTCCTTAAGCTTTCAAACCTCACTCTAGGTTTGGGACAAGTCACTAGCTCCCACGGAACTAACAAGCATTGCCTCTTGACACAAATGATACGTGTGCAAATTCAACAATCATATGCAATTAAGATCATTCCCTAATCTTAACGTTCATGCATATCTTCAATAATTCATCACACTTAAATTACCACACATTTGCACATACACAAGTATCAACACAATCCAACCTTAATTCATAAAACACACATCATCAATTAAACATAGAATAATTAATCCATCATCGATAATTAAAAATTTGATATTCAATAAATAATTCAATATTTTGACAAACAATTATTATTTTAATAAATAATCAACATTTTGATAAATAATCAATATTTGAATAATTAATTAATATTTGAATAAATAATTAATATAATTTTAAAATTTAATCAACATTCAATTTTTTTAAATAGATTTAATAACTAATCAATAGTCTATAAAGTTCAATATCTAATTGTATATTGCTACAACATGTTACAAGTAAAGGGGTCAAGTTCCATTCATACTAATTTTCAATACCAATAGTCAATATTTACAGTCATTTCTGACAGTCACATTTCCATAACAATTTACTCTCCAAAACTAATATACATTCAGTTCTGCATATCAATATGGATTCATACCAATTGACAAGACAATACTACATTGACTTCATTTCAACAATTAACCCCAAGTTAAGCATTAGCTCTCATTGTTAGTTTTTTTCCTCACAACTGCAATAATACTAATTAAACTCTTAACACTAACAATATTCAGTTTAGGATGTTCACTAGCTTACACCTTCTTTATCTACTCTAGCATGTCATGTAACAACTGATTGGGTAACAAGACAATTCAATTTTGGCATACTTAATTCAATACAACACGATTCAGTATCAACAATTAGTTTCAGTGCCAACTACTTATGCTACAATATCATCTAGGGAATTCATTTTTCATTTTGAAATCAAGTGGTACTACAGTACCAATAAGTTTTCACATTTTGTCTTGCTGATACAATGTGGCATGTGCATTACTTATACAATTTTATCCAATATCATCTATTTTATATTTACTTATTAAACTTAACCATCAACAACCAATGTAATGTCAATAACAATATATTTTGCAACATGACGTTAAAATTACCAAAGCATATGAAATCATCACATTTTGTTATTTTTTATAATACACGTGCTTCAAGCACATGCGTGCTACAGTAACCCAGGATATATAATATCATGTTACTGCAAGGTTTCGCTACTATTCCTATTGTTTTTTGACATTGCTACTTTTCACTACTAAGTGTACCCTACTTTTCATCACATATTAAAAATTATCATCAAAACCCAACAATTATCAAGTTATAAAAATTTAGGGGTTTTATCCTGAACATGTTTTTACCCATTATACACTATCAAACAATCTCAATAATCAAATAAAAATCCACTCTTAACTTGATTT